AAGAAAATACTGTAGAGAGGATTTTCTCCCAGACGGGATCGGGCTCCCGGGGTAAACCTCGGGCCGGAACGAGCTCCCAGGCGTTGGCGCGGCAGATGGCTGGGCCTGCTCCGACATGGTATTCGCCGTGGCCCAGGTCGCGGATCACGATGAACGGTCCAAGTTGTTGGATCCTAAAGCGGCGATCGGCGGCATGCTGCTTGACTGTCGGGAGCCGCGGACGAATTGCGACTAAGTCTCCTGGGCGGAATTTCGGCCAAAGCTTGCGATTTGCGGTGCTGCAGAAATCCTCCCGGGCTTTAGTGTTCACTTCGGGGATTTGCGTGAGCTGCGGGCTGATATCAGGTGGTGCGACGCCAAACGTCTTATCTGCTTCCAGCTGCAGGGGCTTCTGAAAAAAAGCTTCGACGGGAGAGACTCCTGTAGAAGAATGAATAGTACTGTTATAGGCTAAAACGGATTTGGGCAGGTGCGTTTCCCACGACGCGCTCTCTCCATCCGCGGCCTTGCGTTGTATCTGCCCCAGGGTGCGGATGGCTCGTTCGCAGCATCCGTTTCCTTCGGGTGTGAGGCTTGGGCCACGTGTTGATGAACGCCTGCGTCACGAAGGAACCATCTGAAAGCTCGAGAACAGAACACTGAATCGCGGTCCGTATGGACCACCTCGAATAAACCGAATTGACGAAAGACTTCTGCAAGGAAAGGTATAACCGTAGTAGCGTCCGCGTTCGAAATTGGTTTGGCTAGCATATATTTGCTATAATGATCCACTGCTATGATAGCATATTTGTTACCCTGAGAGGACGTTGGCAAAGGACCGTAAAAGTCCAGGGTCAAGCGCTGTCGAGCGTGCGAAGATATGATTGGATCTAAATGCACTCCGACTTTAGTCGTGGGTGCGTTATACCTGAAACATACTTGACAACACTGAATCCGTTTCCACACGTCCTGTCGCAGAGATTTCCATTTGTAGCGGGCTTTGAGCGTCTGATATATTTTCTTCCAACCAGCGTGTCCCTGCTCCAAATGGTAGGCGTCAATAATCTGTAGGCGTTCTTGTTCGTCGGGGATCTCGCGGACCTCTGCTGCGTTGATGACGACCCGACTAAGGGCATCCGGGCCCTTGAGGAAACGACCGGGTTTGTAGAGAATCTTGGCTCTAAATGGAGCAAGTTTAGTCTGCAAGTAAATAAGGCGCGTAGTTTTAAGTTCTCCGAGTAAGGCTTTGTGATCAGTATAGACAGTAAAATCGCGCATCTCGAGGTAATGGCGAAACTTTTTTGTAACTGCCCACACAATTGCTAAGAGCTCGCGTTCGGAGTTGGAATGCCGACTTTCTGTATCATTAACCGTCCGACTTGCGTATTCCACAACCCTGGGTTTGCCCTCCTCGTTGATTTGTACCAATATGGCTCCCAGAGATGTGGCCGAAGCATCGCAGTGAACCTCGGTGGGTCGCGACGGATCCATTCGTTCCAGGCGAGCGGAATCCGCAAGGATCTCCTTAAGATGTCCGAAAGCTTCCTCAGCCTCGGGGGTCCAGAGGAGACGGGTAGCGGGCTTAGTAGGGATGATCGTCCGGAGAATTTTCTCAGATGCTGCAAAATTCGTGGGTAAATGTGCCCTTGAATACGTCGCCATACCTAAAAAACGTTGCATTTGGCGAGTAGTTTCTGGCTTGGGGAAGCGACGGACAGCGTCCAGGTCCTTTTCCAGTGGCCTTGTTCCAGTCTGGTCAATCTCATGTCCTAGAAAAATGGTTTTCTGTGCTAAAAAAGTAGATTTCGTAAGGTCCACGGCTGCTCCGGCACGCTCTAAGTCTGTAAGAACGAGGTCAAGATTAGTACACACTTGCTGAAAAGATTCTCCAAAGACGATTATGTCATCCATGTACACCAAGCATCTAGAGAATAAGTGCTGTCTAAGAATATGATTCACGGCCCGCTGAAAAGCGGCAGGGCCGTTTTTGAGTCCAAAGGGCATCACGCGGTACTGCATTTGCCCGCGGGGAGTCCAGAAAGCTGTTTTCGGTCGATCCTTGAAAGCAAGGGGTAAGTGGTGAAAGGCAGAATGAAGATCTAAACTGCAAAAGTAAGCATTACGACGACCGAGGGCATCCAACAAGTCCTGGATTACCGGCATAGGATATCTGTCGTCGGTCAGGATATTGTTGATGCCCTGGTAGTTTTCCACCAGCCGCCAGTGCCTGTGAGGAGGAGCACTGGGATCGGGATTCTTTTTGGTGGTCAAAAACGCCGGAGAGTTGTATGGTGAGGATGCCGGCTCAATAATGCCGGCCTCAATATACTCGTCCACCAAAGAGGAGAAGAGAGAATTCATTTCGACGGACTGCCTAAATGATCGTGTGTTGGGGATCTGATCGTCGGAGGTCTGCAAGGTGACAGTGTGCTCAGGAAAGAAGCCTCTACGCCCCGACCATTGATGAAAAACGTCGGTGTGGCGGAGGAGTAACTGTCGTACCTGGGCCCGCTCAGATTCAGTCCCGTCCACAAATGCGATCCCGTCGCCTACTGCAAGAGTTGGAAGTGCTCGATTTTGGATGGAGCGTTGAAAACCCACGAACGCCCGATCGCCGTCGATGGTCAGGGCGAGAGGCAAGTGCCGCAGGGCCGTTTGACCGAGAAGAATTGGAGGATCTGAAAGATGAGGTAGGATGAGACAAATGATGGAATATTGAAGGCCCTTAAAAGTGAACTCAAGAACCACCTGTTGGGTCACCTTTGCCGTACTAGAAGTAAGTGCAGTCTGCACCTGGATTGAACAGGGTTTGGACACAAGTTTAAGAAAGTCGACTAAAGGTTGTGCGATGAAAGCATGAGAAGCCCCGGTATCCACCAGGGCCGGAAAAAAAGTCTCGCCGATCTGCAGAGGAACAATGATTGGGGGGGGCGTGGCAAGATCCATATCAGCACAGTGCGCCGCGTTCACTGTTGCTGACGCCCGTTTCCCTGTAACGCGAGCGGACAATTCCTGCCAATGTGCCCGGGCGCATGGCAATGAAAACAATAAAAAACATTTCCGGAAGGAGTACGATTGTTAGTTATTGCCTGATTAGGTTGAGGCGCCGGCGCTGTAGATGCAGGAGCTGCCGCTCCGGTGGGTTCATTGGGTGTTGCTCCTTGACGACCCTGTTGTCGGATGAGGATCCTGCAGTCCTGGGGCGAGTGGCGGACGTAAGCGTTGTGTCCTTTGCACCACTGTCGTTGGGGCCGGGATGATCCTGAAGTTTTGTGCGCCGGTTTCGAGCCTGTCCCCCCTCGGGACATGGCATGATGATGTAATCGATGCTTCTCCGCTTCTTGGATGGCTTCCCTCCATGTCAGGTCCCGGTTGTCGATCCACTTTTTCCGGAGCTCATCTTGGAGTCCGGTGGAGACTGCCGCTATCAACTGGTCGATCAGCATCTTGTTGCGGAGGTCGTCGAGGGAGACCGGTTGTCCTGGGGGGGAAAGAAATGAGTTAAACGTGTTTTCTAACCTGCCCCCGAAACTAATGAAGCTCTCTCCTTGCTGTGGACGTAGTTGACAAAACCGGTCCAACTTGTCCAGGTGAGGTGTCGGATGAGAGATCGCTATCGCTTCCGCCAGGTCTTCGAAGTCGGTGACCCCTCTTGCATACAAAATGGATGCCGTTTTGCGGACGAGGGGCAGCGTTTTGTTGATGAGGCACCATACTTTCATGTCGGTGGACACGTTGTTCACCGCCGGCATCCTGCGAAGCTGATCTGCATAATCTTTGAACGTTTCTGCGTCGCGCTGTCGTGGCAGGTCCGGGAGCTGAGGTTCTCCCGGGGGTCGGTAGGGTGGTGGTTGACACGCTGGAGGTACTGGTGTGGGTCCCGCCACCACGATTTGCTGTGGGGTTGGCGCGGACCAGGGCGTAATTTGTAGGTCGAACGGCCGCAAGTGCCAGCCCGGCGGAGGTATCCACCCTTGGGCGAGCGAAGGCGGGATCCTGTTGGACTCCAAGAGAGTTACATACCCTGAGCGGTCGTCACCGGTTGGTGTTCCGAGGCGGTAAGCCTCCGTCAAATACTGCAGCGTCGGCAACGGTATAGCGTCCCACTGATGACTGCCTGTTGAGGCGGGTGTCGGGGGTAGGCTCCGTGTCGGGGGTGAAGTAGCTGGAGATGCCTGCTCTGTGGGCGACCCTGCAGGCGGAGATGCTGCGGGTGGGTCGGGAACTGGGGCAGGTGGCACGTAAGGTTGTGCCGCAGCCTTGGAGTTTTCCGTGTTGCGAGTCATCTTCGTAACACCGGCGCGATCAGGAAAGAACCGGACAAACCCCCAATAAGGTTTAATGAATCGGTCCTCGGCCAGTGTCACAGTATCAGGAGAGTTTTTAATCAGTCCTCTCTCCCAACAATATTCAGACTCGTCACAACACAACAGAATCACACAAACGTCGGATATAAAAAGATAACTTCCTTCGTCAAAAGTCAAGACTCGAATGACACTCAAAAGATCATCTCTTGCACGCGTCTCGCCCCAATCATGATAACGATCTGCTTCCTGGCAAAGCTGGGTAGAAGATCTGAACGGTTGCGGTTAGCTTCGGATCACTGAAGATAGGTGTCGCTCATAAGGGTCCTGGTAAGGATCCCTTACTCAACAGAACAGGGTTGTTGAACGATTGGAGTGTGTCCACCAAGAACGTTCAGTGTGCCGTTCTTAGCGACATCTATATAGACGTAGTTTTGCGCTTGGGTCCCCCCAACTAGGATAGCTCCAGGTTTTGTAGTAGAATAAGGGGAACTCCAAGCAAACGCTTAGGAACACCACATCTATTCACTCTGTAGCTCTTCACATCAACAGAGTCGTCAAAGATTCAAACACACAGAAGATGACTTCAGGTCAAGAGTGAAGTGTCTGGTCCTCTTCACCTCCGGACCCTCCATCCGATGCTCCTCCAGATCTCAATTAACCAACAGATAATCAACAAAAAGAAGCATGACTTCGCGATTTTGCTCAGCGAAGTCGGACTTATCTATCGCAGCTCTTTCGTTGCGCTCGTTCTGAAATGCTTCGAACTGGTGGATAGGAGAGGACGTACATCAAATGAAGCCATGTTAAAATTTTACTTGCATGAACAGCGTGAGATGTGTGGGTGAGAATTCATCAACTCGAGGGGGAGTAAAATGTCGCGACTAAAAAGTTAAATCCATAAGACGCGAGGATTTTCCGAACGACGTTCTTGGAAAAATCACTGTGTGACTTTTGAAACCCTTGACAGAAAGTACAGCTGACAGGTTGGAAATCCAAACCGTATTCGTGTCGCGTTGCCACAATCGTACCAGTTTCCATGGTGGACCTTAGTAAAGGAGGTCCATCAGCTCCGATTGAACATGGGATCAGCGATTCCGTGTTCATCGTCCCCGGAATTCTCGTCGTTTGTGCAGTCTGTAAGTCCATTAATGTTCCAATTACGCGTTCAATCCAATAAATACAGCACATGACTTCGAAATCTCAGGTTTCTTCGCGTACAAGTTGGTACAGAGCTTAATGGAGAAGGAGCGGAAGAAGGAGGAGAAACGGTTACAAAAATTACAAAAGAAGAAAAAGTAAATGTGATCTGTACATCTTCCGGACGCACAGGTGAGTTCGCCGCGAAGTATCAAGAAGTTCCGTCATTCTCTAAATACACCTTTCACTCCTCTTCAGATGGAGAAAGAACATTGCTTCTGTAATGGATCTTTTCGTGGGATTTCGTAGTGCAAAATCGGCTATATCGCTTGATAGAGTGCCAAGCGCAAGCGCTCGGATAACGTGAACCTTCGGACGGGAAAGAATATTTTGTTCAGCCGCGGGATTCCTTCCAGCTTTACGCCTTTCTTGGTGTCATCGTAACTCCAGTTTTAGCTTGTCTGACATTCTGAGTGAAATCAGTTTTTACCTCTTCGATTAAAACGAGTGCATTCCATGCTGTGAACATTACTTGTGATTTTTCAGCGGTGTTACATCGACGGAGAAAAAGAGAAAGGTTGAATCAGGAAACTCGAACTTTATTGTATCAACTTCGGACGGTCCAAACTCGTCCATCACGAAAGAAAACAATCGTAAGAATAGTTTCCACTTCGTTCACCGTGGGAATACAATAATTACCATTCAACGCGAGTCCGGAATTCGAATACAAGGCCACGTTGGTCGAAATCCACGGAATAACCGGCATATTTATCCAAAATTGACTGAAAAAAGTAATCTGGGTTAGAGGATAGAATGTTCGATCATTTGGTGATGAATTCGTACCTCAAAGACTTCAAAAGTAAAGGAAGGCATGCGGATGAGATATTCTCCAGCTCCACGAAAGACACACTTCGAATGTCTGTGTCTTCAAAGTTTCTGAATGATGGCCTAAAAATCGAGAGCATTTTGAAGATGCAGAGCTTTTCACATGTGATTCACAGATATGTTCAAGGGACGCTTCAAAACATTAGCCAATATCAAATGCGAAAGCATGAAAATACAGTACAAGAAGGAAGCAACATCTCAGGAATTAAAAAGTGTGTTTTGGATTAGGAAAATACGATTACATGTGGAATCTCTCTACAACGAGCTTGTGTTGAATTACTCATGTTTTCCGGGTTCTCAACAACAAATTTTTCTGGTCCTTTCAACTTTTACGTGAAACGCAGTCCATCTGAAGACACATCAAAAAGTCGAGCAACCTGCACAGTGAAGCATGGTGAACCCGCTTTAAAAAAACTCTTGCACAACAAGAAATTCACTCCGTCAAAATTCTTCGGCGTGGCGAAGTGATAGGCACAAAAAATGTTTTCACGTAAAAAAAAATTGCTGACAAAAGCTGCATGAATTTCAGGAAGCTCTGCGTTCGAACTTTTAATTTTTTTAAATGAAGGCAATCACGTTAAGTTACATGTTAAGATACGCCAGTCCACAGCAAATTTTTGGCATAACATATTTATGAAAAGTTGGGATGAAGTCTGTTCTCCTTACTCAAAATTTGGAAGGACAATGAGAGTTGAATTATCTGATAAAAATAAAAGTTGGCTTTTCTCCTAATAACGCTTTGGACAAATTTTCACCTGCAGTAATAAATTATTTAAAATTTTCATTCTGAGAAATCTCTCTCCAAGTGCACCTTTCTAATTATTTGGTGACATACTCACCTGAATTTTCTTGAAAATACCTGACTGATTGCATTCAAGATTTCAAGCAAAGCATTTTTGAGTCTGCAACAATTTTATGAAACTTTCCCAGTCTGCAGAAAATTTTTTGGGAATTTGCTGGTCCACAAACATTTTTTTGGAAATTTGCCAGTCCCCAGGCCCAAAAAGGTTGGGGAACACTGACCTATACCAATTTCACATTCAAAGAATCATAAGCTGTTTGGAGGATAGGATAAGCATTCAACATATTTTCCACAGTAAAAGATAGGTTCAAAACACATTATATTAGATATAGGGAAGTGACAAATATTTAAAAAGGAGGGAAAAACATTCTTAGTAGTTCCATTTTTTACTTTTAATAGTTTAATTGACATTAATGCAGCTGATAGTGGATGTAGATATTCTGGGCTCATTTCTATTTCAAGTATGGAGCCTACATGAAGAAATCAGCGAGAGTTTCTCCTGGAAAGGTCAATTGCCCCATTTTAGTATGCAGATGGATTGAATCAGGAATGCCATAACTTGGGAATCTAGCCCAAAACAAGAGGTCTCTATTATTCAGAATACAATGAATTTATAATGTAAGCATACTTTAAATACACTGGCCTGAATTTTATTCACAACACGTTTGCCTTTCACAGATTGAAAAAATGGGAAAGTGGCTTTTGGAAAAGACCTTTTGTGGATGAGACACCAAACACTCAGGTTGTCATTCTTTCCCCAAAATCAGGTCAAAAATCATTCTCCTTGAAAAACCATGAATATCAGTAAGTGCCATTCACTGTGTTCAGAAAATTTAATTACAAACCAAGCCTAATACAATTTGTGACACGTGATTCAGGATTGTGGTGCAGAATTACTCTTTTGCTTTGCCTCACTGGCATCTCCAAAACCTTTGAGTGGACAAGTTTCTCACCAACCATCAGCAGATTTTTCAAAGGACTTCCAAATTACTCGGCGAAACAACAAGAATCGCAGGGAAACGTTGTTCAAGGTTTGACTTCTATACTTCCTTAAACACAGTTGATACAGTGGTTCCCCGGATGGAAAGAATACTTTTTTTCATACCATTTTTGTTAAGCAGGCTTTTCAAACTGCATAACAACATTTCCTCCAACGGCTTCAAGAAGTTATATAAATCCATTCCAGGCAGTGCATTTTTTAACGATAAAACTCTAAAACGTGTTCATTTCAGCAAATCACCACATTTGGATTTCGCTAAATCAAACCTCCCCATGTCCAAATTTTTGCTTGGTCCATCTGAATCCTCCGGTGAACAGAATTATATGAAAATCCCTATAACTCCAAGAAAATCACCCTCACATCTATATATACAGTCAAACCTCTATAAGTTGAATTTCAAGGGACCTGCAAAAAATTTGACTCAGGGAGGTTTTGAATTTTATAGGTTGGAACAACAATACAAAGCCCATTCTTCAGGGAAACTTAAAAAAATGTAAAAGGTGATATTCTGGGGCTGAAATGGCTTCTTAAATGAGTTGAAAGGCTGCTGAACTTTGAGGCAGGGGTTCATTTGCCCAATTAAGTCTTTCACTTCCTTTAGAAAACGTAAATTTATGTTTTTATTGCTTTTTTTCTTTCTTCTTCCAAGAAAATGATGGCCAACATCTCAGAGAAAATTTTACTTATGGAGGTTTGAGGTGAGAAGCTTTCAACTTGGGGAGGTTTTAAATCTATTGGCTCTAAGGGGATTCAATTGGGGACCTTGAAAAAATTTGACTTAGGGAGCTTTGAGTTATTGAGGTTCACCTGAATGAATGAATGAATGAACAGAAAACTTCATTTGCCGCTTTTCAGGATTCACAAGGTTCAATCAAGATTTCCACAACCAAACCCCCTACCAAAAATATGTAAAAAGGTTACCTTCCCACCCAACCCAAATCCACTCAATGACATTTAATCAGAAGTTCACCTGTAAACAGTAACTCTAATTTCTGGAGACCTTTGGGCTATTATTCCAGAGACCCAGGAAAAAGGATTACAATCTAACTTGATACAGTACTTTTCAAAAGGAAGATAGTTTAAACATTGGGTAAATGTATACTTTCCTCCAAATTCAGCCTACTGTGAACTCCAGCATTTCATGGCCCAGAACCTCTTTGTATGTTGAACTCCAAGGGACCAGCAAAAAAACTTGACTATTAGGGAGTTTTTGACGTAAGGGACCCGGGTTTTTCATAGAGAAAATGCTGACAGGAAGGTAACATTTTTACATATTTTTGGACTGAAACTGCTGGATGAATGAAATTACAGGATTCTGAACTAAAAAAAACAATAAAGGGATAATCGCCTAAGTATAGTAATTCACTTCCTTTCAAAGAATAACCCAGATGGATTTTTCATGGCTCTTCAATATCCTTTGTCCCCAGAATAATAGCACAAAGGCATAACAAAGTTCGAGTTTTAGAGGTTTGAGGGGAAAGCCTTTCAGTAATACAGGGAGGCACAGATATCACTGTTCTTAAAGGAATGCCGACAGGGACAAAAAATCTAAATAATTAGGATTGATTCGTTGAGGTTTCCTCCACAAGAAAAAAATGATAGTTTCCCTCACTCAAACAACTCGCTTGATCAAAATTCTTTCTTAGTTTCTCTGCATTTGACTTGAAGAGCTCTGACACAGGAAAATTGTAAATATATAGAACAGATTCCCATACAATTTGAGTAATCCTGGCAATTTTAAGCTGTCCCGTGGATGAAATGCACCAATTCCAGGAACTAATTTATTTTTAATCTCTTTCACAAAGTTAGTCTACATTTAAAGAAAATTTCAGAAGGTGAAACGCAAAACTTGGTATTGAATTTTTCATTTTATTTTGTTCGCGACATTTTATTACTCTTCGTCCCAAAACTAAATTTTGCATCGCGAAATGTCCCTTCGTAAAACTTTCGTCGCGTCTGTCGTAAACTGGGTATACACACACTATTCTCGCGTTCTCGCAAATTATCGTTGTTGCAAAAACCCACGATAAAATTTTCAGCAGAAGAGGACGGAAGGGCAAGTTTCGGCTTGGGTCCGTTTTTGCCTCGGGTGGCCGTGGTGAACCTGGTACCAAACAACAACGTCGTCCGTGGCACCATCCGACTCAGCCAAGCAACGGCTTTCTCAGATGTTCAAATGACGGGGTTGATTCGCGGGCTCAGAGCGGAGCAAATAATCAATTTCCAAGTCAGACGATTCGGGGATGTGAGCAACAATTGTGCCAAGCAGGGAGTCGTCTACAACCCAAACCAGGTACTGTACATTTTCGAAATGCCGGCATCATGCTGAGAGTCGTCTTTTACGAGGGATCAGAAGCAAAAGATCAAAATTCCACCGATATTTGCTACTTTAGGTAGAAAATAAAATGCTAGTCAAAAGGAACTCACTCAATAAGAATATCTGGCAGAGGAACTTTTTTCGGCGTTCTTGTTTTTACAAATTTGTTTGAATTTGTTAAATAGTCTAAAAATCTTTATGGCGTTTTCATTAAAAAAATAGCTACTCATTTTTAGAAACTCAATTTTTTTTAATCCGAGAAAAATGCAATTTATCGCACGCAGAATGACACGAGGTGCGAATTAGTTTGCCAACTATTCCGTGCGGAAAATGTCTTTAAAAAGAAATAAAGACGGTCGGTCGGTTCATCACAAACTTCCGGAGACCCTGAAAATTCCCCAAATTTTTACGAGTTTTCCGTTTTAACTTCGAACATTTTTTTCATCACTACATTTGTAGCGAGATTACGAAGAAGAAGAAAAAATTTCTCCTCCTGCAATCACAGATCAATTTTTCCAAATTTCAATTTTTCTGCATGCATCAGAACATCAGCAAGAATTTTTTTGGTAATGTTAGTAAAAATGAACTCACAGAATGTTACTTCAATAAGAATGCCTGGCAAGGGACTTTTCCCTCCCAAACGACTTTTTTAGTGTTTTGTGTAACAAATTTGTTTGGATTTTTAACCGGTAATTTTCAGGGTTTCCGGAAGTTTGTGATGAACTTTTTCGAAAGAAGTTTTCCGCACGAAATAATCGGCAAACTAGTTCGCACCTCCTGTCATTCATTCTGCGTGGAATAAATTTCATTCTTCTCGGATTTAAAAAAAAAAAAAAGACCCCTCGTGTCTGTATGTTTACATTTCAGATGCACACTGGCGGATTCCTAATTTTGGAGACGGAGGCCGGGGAAGAAGGGATTTTGTCACTGAACCACAGCGCGCCTTCAGTGCGGGCAAGCCTGTGGGGGCCAGGGAGATTATCCATCATCAACAGATCATTGCGGATTGCCACGGGTGCAGAAAATGCAACTGGCACGATCCTTGCCTGCGGTTTTATCACGGAAGTTGCACCGATCGCAAATACAATCAATGCAGCAAGTGCGCCGGGAGTCATACCCGAAAAATGACGTGAACGCTGATGCTCCTAATATACTTGTCGGTATTCCGATGATGGTTTCTTAATTTATGAATAGATCTTAAAATCGAAACCCACCGAGAAAAATACAATTGTTTATGTGACACATGTGTCGAATTCATCAACTTGAGTTCTGCATGATATGCACCTGTTTTGGGGTATTGCGCATTTTATCAATCATTAATTTATCAATGAAACGAAGTCCATGAAAACCGCGAGAAAAGCTCCAAAACAGCCTGACGAGGGTGACGTGGCAGCAAATGCAGTCAAGCCTCGTCTCCGAGTTGAATTTAAATGAATCACCAAGAAAAAATTCCAAGTAAGGCACGCTCCGAGTTAGGGAAACGAACATTTTTGTTTCGGGGGAGATAGACGAATTACAGTAGACAGTACGTTCAACTGCAATTGATATTCTAGTATTTTGGACCTTAAATTACTTCTTCGATGTACTGACAGGATGTTACGTTTAAGGCATGGGTTTATTTGCCCAACTGTCTTTCAGCACTTGCTTTTGAAACGGAAGACGTTTTTTCCATTGTTGCTTTTTTCTCCTTCCTATGTCAATAAAATAATAGCCGAACGGCCACCAAAAAAATTCGATTCATGGAAGTTTGAGGGGTGTGAAAGCCTTTGAGTCACGGAGGCTTTTAATGCATCAATTGTTTCCAATGAAATCCAGACACGGAGTTCAAAATCATGAATGTTCCATCGCAGCCCGAAAATTTGGGCCGTGGTGAAAAAAACTGAGTTCACATCAACAGTACAAAAAAACGAATTTGCTTTTTGGAATCTACAATGAAAATTTAAAACATTTACAAAGGCCCGCATACTGTAAAGTACTCGTATATAAAATTGGGAAATCGGCACAAACAAAAAAAAACAACGAAAACTCACCAAGAATGCTCTTCCTGCGGGAAAATGTCGACATCGTTCAACCATTCCAAGAAATCTTCAGCTTCTTCGTCGCTCGGTTTCAGCGAACATTCCACTCCTTCCACGTTCTCTATTATTCGGTTATGTGTATGAAAGGCCTTCCCCAGTAACACGTCCGCACTCGGCAGAAGTCGCAAAATCTCGCCTGAACCACCTGAAAATAACCAAAATAATGCAACCTGGCTCAGTAAACAGGCCTCTGCTGTAAACACTTGCTGCGTCAAAATAAGGAGGTACCTTTCCGGTAAACAAATTCGAAATTGAATTCGATGTCACCGCAGAGCTCGATCAGGTGCTTCCTGGACAACGTTCCGGTCGGCTTCTCGAGATCAAACTTGATACCTGGAAAAGAAAAGCCAAAAACATCAAGAAAATGAAATCTTGTGGAGTTTAAACTCGTATAGCGGGGAAAAATTACGCTCAATTCAACAAAAATTGATTTTCAAATATTTTTTCCGAATCAAGTAAATGAAGGATTTATTATAGGACACGAACAACACAAAAAATACAGTAGAAATATCTCTTCGAAAACAGAAAGATGGAAGCAATAAGTCACGCCAATTCCGATAGGTGCTTTCGTAAATTCCCAATTGGCGTTAACTTCCATGTCAATTTTGCGCGCAGCAAAAGACGCTGAACAAGCACGGGCTTGTTCATTCGAAAACATGGCGCATGTCCATAAATAGCTTTTAAAAAGATGCAGGTGCAGAGAGAGTGAATTTTAAGGAAGAACAGCGAATTAAATTTCGATCATCCGAATAATAGAAGCTTGGGGATTTTTCGAATGTTTCCGAAGAGTCTCGCAAATAATTCCAACAAAAGAACCGAGTCTCATTCTAAAGCACTTCGAAAACAATACGCAGTACACGAAAAAAAAAACAAGAGAATTTCCAAACAAAAGAAAAATCCAGTTTAATCCAATAATCATACGGGTGCTCCCTATACTTGCTTCTTTTCACCCTCACAATAAGACCGTTTCCATAAAAAAAAAAGAAAATGAAATATTCACTGAATACGATACAAAACAATACTTATTGAGGATTAGCAATAAATGAACAATACTTACTGAATAAAGCTTTTGTCGAATCCAACTTGCAACGTTTCCTCGGGAAATTCTTCGTTGATAAGCGTGTACTTCGGAGACGCAGTATTAAGCGTCTCGACTGAGACGAGAAGCTCGCCGATTCCTTTGAATCCCGAGTATTCGTTCCGACTCCAACCATTTGCGCTATTTTAACCGAAAATTGTAAGCACAAATGCAACATTTTCAAAGGGCTAACAATGATTCCAACATCGATACCTTTGGCAGCCGCGACGAGAAAATCCGGAGAAGCTAAACTTCGTACGCTGAGATTTCCGAAGTCCGAAAGCTCCCAAGAATCTAGGGTTTGTTCAACGGCAGTAACAAACTGCCCAGCATCTTCGCAGCAAGGCATCAAAAAAGAAACCTGTCGATAAAATGACCGGATCGCGATAGGCTTTAGAATTGTATTTAAATTCAAAACGTTTTTCCAGAAACATTCAGTTTGCGCGAACACAAGTGTTTGAAGAAGGAAACGGGATACCAAGGCAAAACTAAGGTCAACGGAAGAAGAAATTGATGCACAGAAATCAAAATGACTTCTTCGGAATCATTTCTTTCTTGCAACTTTTTTTTGTTGCACTTCAGAACAAATTGACATTAAGTTCTAAAATTGCAAGTAAGTTTCAAGCAAAATTACAAGAAACATATATTTCCAGCCCTAAAAGTTACATAGGAAAATTTCTTTGGCATTTCTCTCATCAATTTACCACCATTTTAGCTAATTTTAAAGAATTACCTCCAGCATAGAGGGACTTCCTTCTCTCTTTTTTACTTGAATGCTATTTTTTACAGAGAATGCCAAAATTTAAATGCGCAGTACAGAGGTATCAGTGCTCAATGCTTCAAATCTCCATATTGTGTTGAAAGACATTGATTGAATCAGTTCAAACTGGAAGACTTTTTAAATTTCCCTGGAATTATGAATACTTTGTCTATAAAACACCAATTAAAAATTATATGATGTAAGTCTAGGGGAAAATGAGACTCAACTTAGGGACATTTTGACTTAGTGACACTCTTGATGCGCCAATCCAGTCCACATCTTGGTGTCTCATGAATGGTAATTGCAGAATGATTGTAGGCCAAAATGTCAACTAGATGTCAATTTCCAGAATGAATACATTCCTGGAATTCTACAACTTGATGCATCGCAATTTACGAAGAGGCAAAAAAGGGATCCTCAAATCTCCAGTTGGTGACATTCCGCTGAAACGTCTTCAGATTCAAGTTTTAAAATTGACGTCACACCACGAGAATGTACAGTACTGTATTGAAAATTGCTGCCTCACGTTCTTCAACGGCAAGTCATCAGCGATAAGCTTCCGCGTGAATACTTCCAAGTCACTGCTGTCTTCAGCCAAATCGAATCGGAAGCTTCTGAACCCTGCATCAACTCCATCATCTCCTTGAGACGCTTTCAGCGTCCAGACCGCAGGATTCTGCATCACGAACACTTCTCTGTCAAAACAAGAAACGTTAATGCATCTACAAAAAATGAACAATTTACGCCTCAAACACATAAAATGAAGAAACACAAGTTCCACTGTCTGAAAACCTTTCATTGGTCAAATCGCAGCCGTTGGCGACAAAAATCGGGTACAAAAACTTCGAATACCAATTTCCGACGCGCAAAACCGAACTTTTCAAGTATCACTGGGAAAGATTAATTATAATATGCTGTCAAGAAGAGGAAGCATAAATAAGCGAGTATCAAAACCTTGACAGACAAAATCTCATGTTTTTCCAGTCGCTCTTCCGTGCATTTCCTGTTATTAGAATGGTCTTTCATGCGAACTTCTGTTTGCATTTCAGTTGTTCCACGCAGTTGCCATTTCATTACTTGCTCATCCAAGCATTTTTTCCCCCTTCAGAAGCGCAGGTATCAAAAAAGCAAGAGACGGAAAGAACAAATGCAAACAAATGAATAAGCAGATGCAAAAGACCGCAAATATTGAAACAGCGTTTACACAAAATAAGACGTGCGAACATGTAGACGTTCCTCTTGATACTTCATCTTTTTGTATTCTCTCTACTATTCTTGGCCATCTGTTTACTGTACTTGCTCTTTTGATGAGCAAACGAGCATCGAAGAAGCAAAGGCATAAAAGAGAGAGTATTAAAAGAGGAAGTGCCCAAAAATCAGGCATCATCAACTCAATGTAAAAATAAACAGTGACTTTTGAGATTTGCTATTTTCAAACCGGCTCTTCGATTGAACTTTGATAGACATCATGAACAGGACTGAGAATGTCACCAGAAAAAAAAAACAGAAGACCCGAGTTTTCAAAGACAAATAACCTTCCCATTACATTCTAACGCACAAAAAGGATCATGAGCGGCATAAACTCATTCAGTCCACCGATGAGTGCAATTGGCATTCGTGCAAACGTAGTAAAGTTTCATCTCTTCTTCTGCGCGACGGGTTTGGGCCTGGAAGAAAACAGCCTCGTCGTGTTTGCACTTCGGGCACGGGTTCTCCGCGGAACGGGGCAAAGTTGGGTCCGAAATCACGTCCGACACAATCTGGGTCAGTTCGTCCACGTCGTGCATAATCTTGTTCACGTAAATGCAATTGTTGTCCGCAGGTTGCTTGAACTCGCAGTTCCGACACGCGTACATCAATACCTGGGAATGTGAGAAAATAAGAACTATACAGCAGACGTTCGATTCTCTAACATCCGATTCCCTAAAGCAGTTTTTCCAAGGAACACTAAATTTTGAATTTAATTTAAAAGTTCTTTCAAAGGTATATAAGTTCCCATACTAATATGGTAATTTAATTACTATGCTATCGAGTCAACCGAAATTCCGTTGGTCCCGAACAGTTGGGATAATCCGAGTTCTACTGCTCATCAGTATTTAATGAGCTTCAGAGGAAAAATCTACTGCCAATTACACCATCCATCCGAACTATAAAGGAGGAGGTTTATTGGATTAAAGGCAGGCTTTCGCTGTGGTTTGCGGGGACAATTTCAGCAAGGAAATCCAAATAGATCTACATGAATGAAGATCGATGTCTCAGACTTAGGGTGATGGTGATATTACAGTGGATTAGTTGAACAGCGTTTCTGCATGTATGCTAAGTCAAACAAAAGAAGCAATAATAAAATAGAAGCTATTACTAACCTTGTTTTCCTTGTCCTCTTTCGGATACAACATATTGTTGCATTCTTGGCAAAACTTGATGCCCACAAAACCCGGTCCGGACATATCCGAAAGGTAACGCTAATACGCGACAATTCCCGCTTTCTCTGCCTTAAATCAAAAACAGAACGCCAATTTTACATGAAAATGATTCAATGGCGCAAACAGCTCGGTCGTGAATTACTCGGGTAAACGAGTTCAAAAATGTCTTGACCTTTCCGGCATTGAATAATCGCATTTAAACCAATAGACTTTCAAAAATTCTAAAAATATTTTAGTTATTTTGAAGTTTCAGTTTTTCTTTCGCCTCAAGAAAAATGTTTCCACGACAAATTTCTCAAGACTGATTTTCCCCCATTATCGACTCAGAATATATCACCACAGCTTAAAATCAATTAAGTAACTCGGAGAAAAGGCCTCAAAAGAAAAAAAACGTGATGATCACATGCATATCTCGAAATTTTTGAACTCGCGACGCCATCAAGAAAAATGATTCACAATAGGAACAAGGTTGCATTGTGTATCTCACATGCGATTAAAATATCCACGAAAGGCAAGGGCTTCGATACGCCAAAAGCCCTCGCTGTACAACGATACAAATCCGCAACAATAGCTCCGTTTTTCTTTTCTTCTTTTTGTAACGGGAAAATCCCATTCCGTTCCCGCAGGTAACACACTACATTAGGAGACTAGTAGCAGTTGCTTGAAAGTGAAATCAAAAACACTGGCAATCGCGGTGCGATAGAAACATTAAAATCGCGAACGGCCAACTTCAAAGGACGATAAGGAAGCTCTATCTCTCTCTCAGCTTCCTTCAAGCATTCACAGCAAATATTAATTTTCAACCACAGACAATCCCAACTTTTCGTTCGAGGAATAGCATTTTGGATAACTGACTGCTATAATAGAAACGGAAACACGAATGAAACCGCGGGTTGCACAAAAAAAAAGTTTAACCAAGATAAGTTTGCGTTTTTCTCTGCGAACGAAAAGAAAGGCGATGATCACATCGTCAGAGGGAAAAAATATTTTTTTTGGAAATTTTGCATTCATCTCTGTTCCAGACAACCCTTGAAGGGCATTCGTGTATACCTTCGTTGAGCGGCAATACCATCGAAAATATAGAAGACATTGAAGCGTTTCCATAGTTAGTTTCCTGCATCATCCTAAATTTGAAATTTCCCGACGTCAGGTAAAAGTGGCTTATGCATGGAATCTGACACCCGATTTACATTCATCAATTTCAACTCTGCCTTAAAATTACCAAAATGATCACTGTACTTGATGTGAGCCGCGTTAAACTTACAACTACATACATGCAATAAATGAATCACGTATAGAAGATATTTTGCAAGAGAAAACGAAAAAAGTGATCTTGATAGTTTAATTCGACTAACCTTAAAAATAAACTCACTTAACGCCTAGCCTAAAAGAGGACAGAGCAATAACACTCAGGCGACATCTACACAATGAGAAATAATTATACATCTCGCGGCGAAGAAGGAATAAAACAACAAAAAAACCCCTCGAAATGTCTTACCCTAAATTTCAACCCAGATGAATCCAACTTGATAAAATCGAGGGGAAAACATGTATTCACGGACTTGGGAAACACACATTACTATTTTGTGCCCTTTTAAGGTAGTGGGCTTCATATGGCATTTTTTTTTTTTAACTTGAATTTTACATTTTGTCAACTTCGACGCTGAATGACTCGATAGCTAGTCTGAACATTCGTGGAATCCGTTACAACTCCGATTCATCCTCGGCATTTTTTTTTTTCTGAGCGAAGAATTAAATACTGGTAGTACAGTAATATCCTCGATGCTCTTTCTCGGAACGAAATTCCGCTCACCCATCCCACGAAAATTTACCGAAGCAGCCGAACGATACAAAAAAGCATCCCGTATTTCCTCGATATAACTAGAATACAGTGCGATCAAAATCAACGATTCACATTTGTTTCACATCCACAACCCATGAAATCCCTCGAAACCGTGCGATCAAATTTCCCCACTTGATGTCTCATTCACGAAAATGCAACTTCGGCAACAATTCTTCCACCAATAAATTTACTACTGTACTTATCGATCAAGGTCATTATTGAAAGAAGAAGGAAAATGATAGGGCTGACAAATTTCGCAAGAATCGGATATGAAACAGGCGTTTCGAATCCTCTTACAGATGGAATCCCTCTACGGTATAATAATGGACACCGAAGCAAAAGATTATTCTCGAGATTATTATTATGCTGAATAAGCTGTAACTGTTAGGGTCAGATTAACGCAAGGGATTAGGCCCAAGTCTCGAATTTCATCCGGCAACCCGAGTATCATCTCGTTGATCGCATTTTTTCATCATTCGAATGTAAGAAAAAATACCTTTCTCGCAAAAATCGAATTCAACGTTCTAGAACCGAAAATGCTGACAAAAGGTGAAGCCACATTTTTTTCGCAAGGCTCCAAGGTCACAATAGAGATACGGTATCTAGATTTCCCAGGCAAAAAAAAATCAAAATTCCACTAATGAACGAATATGAGCGCCCCTTACTTTCCCGGTGTTCTGGCTTTCTAGGAGCCTCGCATTTTCGACAAAATTTAGGCTTTCCCCAGAAAAGGAAAGACCGTTGCTACGCAACCCTCGTTCTAAATGCATCATGAAGTGCTAAAAGCTTACCATTTCTTGACTTCAATGTCAAAAATAACCAAAGAGAAGAAGTGCTCGATCGTTTCGTGGGCGGCGAACAGGAAGATTCCCCTGATATAGACGCAGGGAATCTTCCTGTTACATATTTACGCGAATTGCGTAACTATAACGAAGTAAGCAACCCCCCTAGTTGTTAAACTTCTAAGGGCGCTGTTATCCAAAAACTATTTTACGAATGAGGAAACAACGATGATCAGTCGTTGTAGACTCTTTCTAATAATTAAGGGAAAAAGGGGATCGGAGATTTAAATCGTTTTCCGCGACTTTCGAA